TTTTACCCTGAGAGGAGAAAAATTGTCTAATTGGCTGAATGTGAGGAAACATTGTGTTGTTGTTACAGATCTAACTCTACTAGACACACACACACACTCCCTCAGTGCCTACAGCCCGTTTCCTCCATCCATCCCAGCCATACATGTGGTCTGGTTGATTTTAATGAACACATGAGCCCCACAGAGCCACCCAAGTAGAACTGCACTCCCGTTCCTCTTCCTTCTCTCCCCGCTCCCCTGGGATGGCTGCGTCCAGGATCAGCTGTTAAATCGTCGAAACTCTCTCATCTGCTAATGGTCTACCTGTCTTCCAGCCTGCCTGCCCTTAATGTGTCTGTGTTCTCCGTGCACGTCTGTCTCTGTGTCTTCCTGAATGTCTGATGTCCTGCCCTTAAGTGGAATGGTGGTTTGGTCTGTATGTTTCAGGCTGTTTCTGCAGCTTCAACTTCCTCTACTGTTCACTGATTCAGCTGATGGACTGTTGAAGTGTTGATGATCTACTCACCCTGTAATGAACTGATGGCAATTTATTGGATTTCTGTCAACTAGCAACGTTTTTCGTTCATGAAAACTAAAGCAGCCTAATGTTCATTTTTTATTTACCTTAGAAGTTCAGCAGATCAGTTTTTCTCTGTCCTTCTTGTTTACCAAATTTTACGTACGTCAACCAGTGTGTCACGCACGCCTCACCTCTGGCAGACAAACATTAGGTCCATTACTGCCCCCTATGGGCTATAGTGTGTGCATCAGTGTTACCAGTGTAACACTGGAAAATGTGCAATTAAATACATCAAAGTATTTGTCTCTAGTATTTAGTTACTTTTAGTTTGACATCTTTGTATTCTATTCTATCTATAAAAGAGTTCATTTTTATCTACTCAATTCTAGTCTAATATTTTGTGACTAATTCTATTGTAACTAAGGTATCCTAATTTAACCTTTAAAGTCACATGACTAATCTTGAACTAGGAAAGCGACACAGTGGAGTTGACTTCAGAAACTATATTATAGTATTGCATATATAACTTATTAAAATATTGCCTGTCTACAATCTTCTTTCTTTGTTTGCTGACATATTTTTTCCCAGGACAGTGAAGGCATCACTTACATTATCTGGCTCCAATTAGAGATTTAATCAGACCCAAACTGTTTAATCTGACCACTCAGTATTTGCAGCTTTAGGGTATGTTTAGCTGGAGTTTTTTGCTCTGTTAAGTTGTAATTTGTTTTGTTTTTTTATGTTGTCCAGCTCCTCGTGGCTAACCTTTAGCCATCTATTTTACCTGACTTTTTTTTTGCCTTTTTTAGGTTATGGTTGTGTTTCTGTTCGTTGTGTTTGTTACTGAACATCATGGACTCTTTGACTTTGACTTAAGGACAGTTTAAATGTTTTAACGTCAATTCAAGTTGCCCCAGAATTGAGTATTTGACCACATCCAGACAGGTGATCTGGTGTGTGTGTTTGGCATATGCTGTTTTTGATTTATTTTCCTTCATATCTTGGACTGTATTAGGGTAGATGTTCTCTGTGTCTTAGTTTGTCCTTGTCAAAACATTTTTGATTATCTGTCCATTTTCTGGTAGCTCCTGTCACTGACGTCCCCCCCTGGTGTCAGTCTGTTCCTTGAACCGTATCATAAATAGAGCCCCACTGACATTTCAATTTGCCACATAAACCTGCACACACATACAGAGATACACACACACAGTCACCAAGTTCATGGAGGAGCGTCAGTCCAGGACAGAGCTTCTCCTCCTGGGTTTCCACAGAGACAAGGAAAAGCAATAACTGCACACTTGACCCCTGTGCTCCTTTATTGGCCTCTTCTCTCCTTTTTGCTCACGCACACACACACATAAACACACTCACACATTCATACACTTACACCCAGCCCAAATCTAATCCGGGAGAGTGAGCCTCCATGGTGATATGTCTCCTGCTGCTGCTGCTGCTGCTGCTGCTCCTCCCCCGAGGCCTGGAGAAGAGAAACGGCAGAGATGGCCAAAGGATGAAGAGCAGGAAGTGAATAATTTCATCTTGCACTGACCTGCAGGCGATAAGATCGATTGTTTGGGCTTTTTGTAGTCTCTTCATATCACACACACAAATCTTCACATTTCCCATCGTTTTCCAATCACAGTTTAATGAACTCTTTCGGCCGTGTCGATCAGTGGAGTCAGAGAAGGTGAGCTGTGTGGAACTGAGACAGAACCAGATGTTTGACATTTATGAACGTGGCTACATTTTAAATGACATGACTAATAATAACAACACAAACATCATGACTTATTTATAGTAATTCAAAGATTTGAAAATGTTTTTGCAAAATTTTTATCAAAAACAAACAAAAGAAAACTTAGCATAACATAGCAAAGTTAGCATTACATATCAAATGCAGTTGCAAAATAATATCCCAAATACAAACAAATTTGAAGCTAAGTAATTAAGTTAATATAACTATATATAACTATATTAAGTTAATATACCTATATTAAGTTAATATATATATTAGCTATTAGCTAGGTAAGCTAGGTATATTCAGTTGCAAAATAATATCCCAAATACAAGCAAATTTGAAGCAAAGTTAATATACCTAGCTTCACACCAAAAGAGATAGAAGCCGAAAAAATCTTGAAACACCGGCATCATTTTTGGACCATTGCCTCACCCGTGTGTTGCGCTCCGATTAGCTCCAGGGGGAGAAATGGCGTGTGGGAAGATTTTTGTCTGCTCATTTCTCCACCTACTCAACTTGAACCAGTGCTACCTCATAATAAACACAGTAAATTAGCCACAGGAAGTCACACAATTTACCAAAGATTTCCATCTTTTTCTGCTTCATCCCCATAACATCCAAACCTCCAGCCGTGCCACCTGACTTTAAACTCGTGCTGTTGCTGTAGCTCAGGATTAGCCGTAGGTGTTACCATTATACATCGATAAAACCAATCTCTCGTCTCAACTTATTCAGAAGGGTGCTGGAAAAGTTTGGAAAGCGGCCTACAAGTCCTTGAGTCTGCGTGTCAACCGTGGTTTGATAGGACCTGTCGTGTGGCTGCTGTATGAGATGATGAAAATAGATGAAACTGCAAAAAAACAGAGGAAGGAGTTGAAGAAAACGTAGGGAGGAGAGAGTGAGCGTGAGGTGACATCACTGCTGATCGTTGGTCTGGTCGCCAGGCTCTTCTCTGTCTGAAGATGTTTCCTTCTCTGTCTCCATTCATGATTCTCTAAACATCTGTGTGTGTATATGTGTGTGTGTGTGTGTCTGCCTCACCTCTTGTTGTTGTTGTTGTGGTGTTGTGTTCCACTGTGGGACTTTGTTCCATATGGGAAAACAACAGTGAAACAGAGTCTGATCCACGTCCTGCTACACAGTACTAAGACACAACAACACCGTTTCTCAGAGCGTCCACACTCAGAGAATCACCTGACGTAGGTTTCCGTCACCACGGTTTTACACACTTGTATTTTCCCTTTACTTTAACCTTCCTTCTTTCCTCTTCTAATGTGTCATTCTTTCTACACTCCTCCTTTTCTAGCTGTTCCCCCTTTGCTTCCCCTGCCTTCCTATCTACCTTCATTCCTCCTTTACTCTTTGTCATCTTACATTCTTTCCTGCTTACAACATTTTCTTTTTCCACCTTCCTTTCTTTCTTCCATCCTCCCTTCCTCCTAACCAATGTTCTTTCTTTTTCCTCTCTACCTTACTTGCCTGTCCTCCTCCCCTCCTTTCTTCCCTCTTTCCGTTCTTTCTTCCCCTCGTCCTCTCTTGCATCTCTTTTTCCTTCTTCCATTTGTTCCTTCTCTGCTGTCCCCTGTTGTACTTCTTTGCTTCCTTCCTTTTCTGATTTCTTTCTTTATTTCCGTGTTTGTTTCATTCCCTTTATTCTTTCTCTCTCTCTTTACCCCTCCCTCAACCGATTCAGGTTGGATTTCATTTGCGTTTCTTTCTTCTGTCGTTACTTTCATGCTTGTTTCCTGTCTTTTCTTCTTCCCTTCACCCCCCCTCGTACCAACACATACACGTACACAAACACATTTGTCACTAAATACCCATGAAAATGTTGAGTGGAATTTCTGTTCATGTTTTACAAGCCTGATTTCCCCTGAGGGCTGTTCTTTGTTCAAACTGAAATAGGAAGCTTTGAAATCAGAAATCTGACCCAGGTATACGTGTGTATGTGTGTGTGTGTGTGTGTGTGTGTGTGTGTGTGTGGAATCATTAGAAACCATTCTGAGTGACGGACACTCAGCTCAGCTCTGCTCTCTGCGCTAAATTGGACCAATAAGAGCTTAATTATTGTGATTTGTGCACCACAGTAATCAGGTCAGTGGTGATTGGTCCTGACTGGACTGGACTGGACTGACTGTGTGTGTGTGTGTGTGTGTGTGTGTGTGTGTGTGTGCTTCCCTGCAGTGTTGCCTTCTGTAACACAGGTGTGCAGTGTCTTTATTTTCGTCTTTATTTGAATAACAGGAAGCCACTCATGCGGACGTGTAACATGATTACTACAGTACTACCCCTAAGACGTAGCATACTACACAGTACTAAGCAGTTTCAAACAGGTGTATACATTTACTGCCCCCTTCTGCCCCATCCCCCCACCAGCTTCTTGCAGTTGTTTTGTTTTTCTTGTATCAACAATTTCCCCAGGGTGGGATCAAAAAATATCTATAATATAATATGAAATATATTCTATATATGTATATGTTTATGTTGTTCAGGATGAGCTTCTTGTTCTTTACATTTGCTTTAAATACTAAAGAAAATAATGTGAAGAGGGATGTATTTAACATTAAACATTAAGACAGTCCACTGCTATGGATTTGATCCATCACATTTACCTGGACAGTGTGAGACTGTGTGTTTATATATGTATATGTATGTATGGTTCATCTGTCAGTGTGACACACTGTGTTGAACTGCACGTCCTGCTGCGTTCCTACACCCCCACTGACGTGTCGTTCCACCTCTCTGTGTGTTTTCCTCGTGCAGTTCTCCAAGGAGAAGTACCTGCTGGAGTCTCCTCCAGAGAAACTCCGCAAAGAGCTGGAGGAGGAGCTGAAGCTGAGCCCCGCTGACATCAGGAGCCACGGCTGGTACCATGGACACATCCCCCGAGAGGTGAACACGTGAACTACATGAACAACAGAACATCAGTCATTTATTTCAGTGCTCATCTACAGTAGTCCAGTCGGCCGTACTGTCCAGTCTGGCCAGCGACTTTCAAACTATACATCAAATAATAATGTTAAACAAAATGTTTTTATTTTATTTCATTTTATTTTATTTGAGTGTCCAGACTCCAAGGTGTCTTTCCAGAAAAATGATGTCCCTCCAGCCCTGGCTGAACGATAGCCTTAAAACCCTCACAGTTTTAATGGCTAAATGTTAGATGAGGTGAAAAAAACTAAACATTAGCCAAAAAGAAAGCTAAAGGTTAGCATTTTTATATTAGTGCTAAAGTAATGTAAAACTCAAAGGTCTGGAACAACATTCAGTCTCTATAATATACGGTATTACAAAAAGCCTAACCCTAAATAGCAGAACAGGAACCAAAAGGCTAAAATTAAGCTAAACGGTAAATAATGTTGCCCCAGAAATAGCTTCAAGTTAGCCAAAAGAGAAAAACAAAATGAAAACAGCTAATGAGGTAAGAATGGAAAATATAAATATCTAGACAGAAAATACCCCAAATGACATACAGGATTTAAATGAGCTGTGAGTTGGGAAATAGCTAAAAGCTAACTAAATACGCTAATAATATAATTTAGCTAAATAAAGACAAGCTGAAAGACAATAAAGACAAAGCTTAAAGACAAGTAAAGGATAGCTGTCAAAAGCTAAAAGGTTAGCTAAGAAGTAGCAGGAGAAGAGTTCAAACATGGAGAGGGAACAGTTATGGTCAGAATTCAGTTTTTAATACCTACAATAAATAAGAATGTGTATATTTAATGTTATTAAAAGTCAACGTCTCTGTATTTCTAAGGACAAGTCCAGATTTAAAGACTGTTTTCAAAAATTAATGTTCTGGGCTCAGGTCTACTAAAGTTGAGTAGTTCTAAATATTTAATGTTTTCTGTAATTGCTCTGGGAACTTTACTTTGTGTTGATAATTACATCTGAGAATGAGGTCATTTAATGTTTTTTGTTTTAGGAGGATCGATAGTCCTGAAGTTGTACGTAACAAAATAACTTCTCATATGAAGGTAAAGCCTGAAGTGAAACCATGTGTCACACTCTCAGCCTGTGAATCAATACAGTAAATAAGTCCAGTCGGAGTGATGATTTATGGCCGCTGCAGTTTCAGCTCCACATGTTATCATTTATTTCCGTACATACTGTGAAAGAGCCGTAAATAAGGAGCTCAAAGCACAGACGTTACAGTGTTTCTGCAAAGGGTTAATGCACTGCTGGAGCCGCAGCAGCATCAGTTCAGCAGTGAGTGAGTTCAAACTGTAGTTCATGGGCCACACACGGTCCAATCTGTATATAACATGTCAACAAGTCAGCAGTTCTGTCCGCTGTTTTTTTTCAATGCAAATAAGTCAAAATATACAGTTAAAAAATATTCAATATTTAGTCTTGAATTTTTACCAAATACTTTATGAATAAGCTGAATAACTTGGAGCTAAATAATTTTTATCAATGTTATCTACACTCTACAAAGACACAAACTGCTTTCTCTCACAGTTATATTTACATATATTTTCACATCTGTATAGTACATACATATACATATACATCTGCATAGTACTTTTCCCACTTGGAGATACTAAATATCTGTTAAGGAAGTGCCGTCCCTCCCTGGTAATTAATAATTAATTTGAGACAGACAACATGTTCTTCAGAATAAGGAAGGTAATGTCTTCCACGTTCAGTTATTTATGTTCTAAATACGGGCCGCAGACTGTATGTTTGGCATCCCTGGTTTGAATGTTTAACACATGGAGTGACAGATTAATGAATACCATCATCTGGTGAGAGGAACAGACGCAAAACTCTGCCAAACACACACTCACTCAGAGACACACACACACAGACAGCTGCACGTGCAGCAAATCCACTGTCACAGCTGGGACCTGTGCCCACACACACACACACACACACACACACACACATACATTTTTCTGGTTATGTTTGGTGCGCAATTTAAACTTTGACCTTGAAAAGAACCCCGCCCCCTGTCCTCCAGGGCACCTACAAAATGTCCCCACATGGACAAGGTTTACCTACGAGTTCATTTCCAGAAGAATATCCCCACATGTACAGCCATGCCAGCTGCACACACACACATGCACATGTGGAGGGTACTTGTAAATAAACACAGATTCAGATCAGCCATCTGTGAGAGTCTCCCCTCCGTTCATTTACATAAAATATTCATATATTCATAGATCTGCCCCAGTGCAGTGTTTTGGGGGGAAACCCTGGGTAAATAAGGTTTAATGACTGGATCTTGTGTACAGCTGTAAACCAGTGTTCCTAAATCCCGTCCTTCCGTCCCTGTTCCCCGTCCTTTATCCTGGTTTATCCCCACCATCCTAAAAGGTTAACGCTTACACTTAATGGCCATGGATCTCAAACTTTTTCCTACTGCGTAGCACCTGCAAACATATTTGTCTCTCCAAGTACCCGCAGTATGACCGGAACTCGAGTACAGCAGCAGAGTACTAGGCTGTTCAGCTAAGACCAGTATACTTATATACTAAGTCTATTTTCTTAATGGGATTTGGATTTTCTGCCCAGCACCACTATTTTCTTAATGGGATTTGGATTTTCCGCCCACCACTGGTGACAGCACCACTGTACCACCTGTTGTACACATGCCACAGTTTGATAACCACTTATTTAAATACATTGAAACCAAATCATTCATTTCTTTTAATTTAATGTACTTTTGTGTGATTTGTTTAAATGCACAGAGATTTAATGTTTTTCAGAGGTTTGAAAAAAAACCAAGCCAGTTCCTGGTACTTGATTTTATTTATTTTTCTTTATTTGTCTATTTCATTATTATTCTTACTGATTTACTATACTTATATTTTCAGACTTTATAAGCTAGGCATTACATATGGTTATATACTGCCCCCTGGTGGTGCATAAACGCTCTTTAACATACGTCATTGTATGTATTTTTCTGCGAAGTAAATTCATATTATGACATCATTACTTTGAAACAACTTTTTTTTCTTTGCAAATTATTTTCAAAGGGACGTTGTATTCAGTCTGAAATATGACCATCTGCTAAAACATAAATTCCAGATCAATATTTATGATTTCTTCTGGCATACAGCGGAGACACATCTGCTTTTTGTCAAGACAAACAGCCGGGAGCCGTTGCACCCACTGTAGATGAGGGGATTGTTCTTCTGGACAGCTTTTCTTGTCAATAAAATCAAAACTAATGAGTATTTTTCACAGAAGCTGAGCTCAGTAAATGGAGGAAGTTGTTCCAGCGTTTTGTTTCCAGCACAGTGTCTGTCAGCTCTGATGGTATCTAAATAGAACACAGTCATTTTGGCAGTGGGAGACAATGAATGAGATTGTTGTGTTGGTTTGAGCTACAGAATTAGTCCTGAGGCTGTGTCATAAATAATCGGGACAGTCATTTTAACGATTCAACACCAGGGTGCGCAGCAGTTCAAACACAGTCTTAAACTGTGTTCTTCTATCGCAGGTCTCAGAGACGCTGGTCGTACGGAACGGCGACTTCCTGGTGCGAGATTCTCTGACCACGGTGGGAGAATATGTCCTGACCTGTCGATGGAACAACGAGGTTCTGCATTTCACCATAAACAAAGTCCTGGTCAAATCCAGTGACACCAAGGTACGGTCCTTTCTCATTGTTGGTGTATCAAAAAGATTATTTTTTAATCTTTGCTTTAGACCACCGAGTCATCTCCCTGATCCACAGGAGCCTAAAAGGCCTTTAATTGCCATATAATAAAGTCTGTGCTGCTTCAGGGCGTATATTGACCATAAATTACAACTGCAGTGATGCATTTCATGATAACGACAGACCTCTGAACATAGACCTGGTGTGTTCAAGGACAAGCAGCATCACCTCATCAGTCTGTGTTTGCTCTCTGATATTTGTAATTTACTTGAAATCTTGACATTTTGATTTGAATGTGAGTTTTTTTAATCTGATACTAATCATAATGTGCAGATACATGTATGAACAGGTTATACAGTAGTTACATCTCTACACTTTAATATCCCTGCTTTAGTGTAAGATGGCTCAGGACACTCAGCCTCCCTGTAAATGTAAAAGTATTTTTTGTGAGTGGAAACTGTTCAATTATCTTCCCGTAGATATGATGGAAAATATAGACACTTTTTTATTATTATTTTTTTATTTATTTAGGTAGATATATTTTCACAATAAGTATAATTTGGAGAACATAGCAACATTTGTGCTAACATTTTTGTTGCTCTAAACCAGGGGTCATCAGCTATGTTTTTCAGGAGGGACAGAATGAAATAAAAATTACATTTTTTTCAAATCTTATGGTGGGGATTACTGATAGTTATTTTATTTCTTATGGTGGGGATTACTGATAGTTATCAAAGTCTCAGTTACAATTATGGAATCTAGTTGCAGGCCAGATTGGATGGCTTAATGGACCAGATTTGGTCTGCGGGCCGCCCGTTGATCAGTGCTCTACAACAGATTTATTTGACTGTTGCATCACGATGTTCAGAAAGTTCAGAAAAGAGCTTTTGTAAATAAATGTAGTAACAAAATTCGATTTTAAATCTGCACAAAACGTCTTTTTTTTGTTAGTATTAAGATGTTCTGGAAAAGACATCAAAGCTTTAGAGAAGACAAAGTACTAACTCATCCTCCTACCAGCTCTAACAGTTCCAGCTAATCACTGCAGGAACATAAAATTCCAAGGAAAGAGCATTAACTCGATGTTGTCCTCATCTCCAGGTGCAGTACATATTAGAGAACGACAGCTTCGACTCGGTCCAGGAGCTGATTCGGTTCTACATAGGTCAGCGTAAACCCATCTCCCAGTCTGGTGGTGCCCACATCTACTGTCCAGTCAGCAGGACTCTGCCTCTACGTTACCTGGAGGCTACATTCGCTCTGTCCAACAGCAAACATGGCTCCGCCTACTCACCGTCCAGTCAGAGAGGAACGTACATCAAGAGGCGGAGCGTCACCATGACTGACGGGCTGACCACTGAGAAAATCATACCTCACAGGTGAGTCGGGTCAGGGCCACATGGGAGGACGTTTTCCTTTGTTTTTGTATTGTTTTGGTATCATTGTGTAACTCTTGCTTCATGTCACACACATGCTCAGTGACTCAGACAGTCCCAGTCCACCTGAGACACCACTGGTACCAACTGATCCAGAACCGGAACCTGTGTCCGGTTGCAGGTGGTGTGTTTTTGTGACACAAAAATCTGTGTTTGAACACTAAACTACTGCACGTGGATACTTCCCACAATCCTCTGCTCCCTTCACTTCACACTTACGCACCATCAGCACCCCCTGTAGGACCACCCGGTTCTAAAACACCTCTATATTCCAGAGAGATCTAGAATCCAGAGAGATTAGATCTCATGTGGAGTTTTAGCGCCACTGACTGTCATTTTTTTCCTTTTTTTTTGGCTAGGCTTAAGAAGATGAGGTTTTGGTTAATGTTTTATTTTTTCTTCTTAGGTTTTTAGACTATTTTCGAATAACTAATAACTATATAACTAGCAATAGCATACACACAACAAACATGAGCCCAGATGGCTAACATAGCTAATGGTTTGCCTACAATAGTTGAATCGTCGCATAAATGGATAATGTTTGCTTAAATGTAAGCTAACAGCTAAAATATATCTAAATACAGAAATAATATAGTCACAAAAATCTAAATAAAATTAGTTGATTCATTATTTAAATATAATTATTAAATTGTTCCGACCACCCAGGAAATGTGTGTGTACTGTGACCTCATTTTTCCTTTACGATGACGCACAGGTTTTTAATTCTACACAATTCACCAGTGCCCCCCCCCACACCCCCCACACCCTGACGTTACACCTCCCTGTGAGCTTCACTTTAGCAACTGGACGGCTTCAAACTTCATACCTGAACATTTATAAACTGCACTCTTACTCCCTCTTCAGCCCCTCAACCATCCACCACCACAAGGATGCAATGAGGAACTGTGCCATGAGCATGGACCAGATTCAGGAGTATCGCTGCCCCCTTTCACCTGTTGGGGAAATTCCAATGTCTCCTGCTTATAGTGCAAGTAAGGAAACACACAGACGACACAGAAATGAACAAAAACGCACAGTACTCATATTTTACCAATTCTTTTTTTTAGTTAGCAGACAGAGAGCTAACTCAGGGGGGCGTGTCCTTGCCGTGATCCCACCCTCTCCTGTGATGCGTCACTCTAGCGACCCTCACCTCAGCCCCTCCACCGCCAACAATCCTCCGGAGCATCCCGTTCACACCTCTCATTCAGCTCACTCCTCACCAGCCCATCATCCCAGCTTCCAGTCACAGTCGTCTGAAACGGCGGGGAGCTACTGTGACCTCAGACCCTGCCCGGCCGGGCCACCGAAGCCTCCCACAAAGGGCTATGTGGAGCGGTTACGAGTGGAAGAAGGGACGGAGGTGGGAGCCAGGGAAGAAGGAGACGGAATGTTCTGCACACCACAGGTGGAGAAAGCGTCCTCGTTCAGACCGTCCAAGTATGTTTTGGGATTTCTTTAATGGATAGGAATTCTTTTTTAGCCCTGACGGTTGAGGTCATCGTTTTAATAAAATGGTGTGAATTCTCCTCTGCAGGTTCGAGTCTCGCCTCCTGCCTGCTGAAAACAAACCGCTGGAGATGTCTGTGCTGAAGAGGGTCAAAGAGCTTCTAGCTGAGGTGGACGCCAAGACCGCCGCCAAACACATCACCATAGTGGACTGCGCAGTAAGAACAGGTTCTTTTTATAGACAAGAAAAAAAAACAACAAACAACCACAAAAGTCTGACGCAAATCTGATCCCTACACAGGTGGCTAGAATACTGGGAGTCAACTCAGAGATGCAAAGGATGATGGGAGTGTCCTCAGGGCTGGAGTTACTGACACTTCCTCATGGACACCAGCTGAGACTTGACCTACTGGAGAGGTACAGGCAGTTCTTCCCTCCTCTCTTGTGTATGCACCACACACTTAGCCCTTGATTAATGCAGATATCGATCGACTCTGCTCTGCAGCTCCTCTCCTGTCCCTTATCTCTGGTCTTCAGACCTCCCTTCTTATCTTCACCTTCTCAACCTTTACTGCTTCTTCTTTCCTTCAGACTTTCCTCTGGCTGTTTAAACGTTATGATAAATGCTTTCATAGTCACATACAAGTATAAAACGTGATAACAAATACTTGTGAGGCAACAAAACAAATCTCAGCTCTTGGTAATTGTGGTGTAAACTCTTCTACTACAGTCTCAGACCAGGCTATTTGATTTCTCTGGTCACAGTTTTCTTTTGTAGTATTTTCCAATCTATTTTGATCCAAAGCACATATTTTACCCCCACAGAGTACAACCAAACAAAAAATAATGTCCTTGACTTACGTCAGAGTTCCATTCCTACGGTGAGATGAAACTCGATTTTCACCTCAAGTTTGAACTGACATACTCTACATAAGTGTGTCACTCACCTACGCTAACACAGTGATAACGTCATAATCTAGGACACAAAAACATTAGAAAAGTGTCACCGAGGCCCAGGAGCCACAATGAAGTGTAAAATGTTCATAAAACAAAAGATAGTGAATGTAGCACAATCCAATGTACGGCGTACGACTGAGCCACCACGCAAACTGGTTGGCGAGTGTTAACGCGGTAATTTGGAATGTTGGCACCAGACTTTCTAAATAAATATATGGGAGGTGGTGATGTAAATCACCAAACGCCATAGGTCGAGGACGTTGTAAACCGAGGACTCCAGTGTAAGTAACATGTAATACGATGATATAGTTCCAGTTTACTCACAATTTACTTACTGTCTGTCAAACCCAGGCCTGTTTAGTTGAACACAACACAGATGTACTGGTAGGAATTGAAGAAAGAGCCATAGGTTGATCTTCAGCAGTTCTGAGTTTCTCTCTCTCTTTCTTAGTTTTAATAGCGATCTACTGCCCCCTATTGGAATTCCCTGTAACTGTTGCATAGACAAATGTAGACAGATTATTTTTAGGAAATAAATAATGGTTTTCAGACCAATTTAGGCCAATTGGATCATCTTCTGCAGCACACCTGGTGATGTCACTCCACAGTAATGTGATGTAGCACATTGTTTGATAATTACTACTTTATTGGGCATCAAGTAACAATAAGTAATCACTCACTGTCCATTTAAATGAAGAATTGAAACAACGTTATGGTTTGTCTTTTTGTTTATTTATTTCCTCCAGGTTCTTCACCATGTCCATCATGATGGCAGTCGACCTGTTGGGCTGCACAGGAAGCACAGAGGAGAGAGCGGCGCTCCTCCATAAGACCATACAGTTGGCAGCTGAGCTGAAAAGCACCATGGGAAACATGTTTGGCTTTGCTGCAGTGATGCGAGCCCTGGAGTTACCACAGGTCTGACGGCTGCATGAGAGCTCCACTGATGCATTAACAAACTATTGTATGCATTCTTTGGTAATGGGTTCTAATGTAACTATTGTTCGTCAGATTTCCCGCCTGGAGCAGACGTGGGTGACATTACGGCAGAGACACACAGAGGGCGCTATTCTGTATGAGAAGAAGCTAAAACCTTTTATGAAGAATATGAACGATGGAAAAGGTGAATTTAAAATCATCAGCAAAGAGAAAAGAGAAAGTTTTAGCAAGGGGCTAACCTTTAGCTAGTATATGGACTCAATATTAGTTATCCTTTAGCTTTGTAACTTAGTCTAGTGATCTCCTTAATTTGCTGTGTGTTTTTTTCTTTTGTCAGTTATTTTTGCTTTATTTTTTGGATAACCTTTAGCTATTTGTGAATAAACTAATAATTATTTTAATCAGTGCTGGTGGGTTGCTCCTTTAGCTCTATGTTATTGCTAATTTGTTCTATTTTCTTTTTTCTTTAATCATTGTTTAGCTTATGTTTAAATTTTTTGGATTTTCTTTTTCTTGGTTAACTTCCTATATCCTTTGCTAAATGCTTACCTCTGCTTTGGCTAACTGTTAGCTATATTGCCTTATCTACGTGTTAATCAGCATACACTTTCTTGAAAGTGTTACATTATATTTTAAGTTTTTTACCACTTAATCATAATGTTAATTTTGTCAATTCAAATTAAATTCAGAGGTAAATGGACACTAAAATGTGAGATGTGTTTGTTTGTTTGTTTGTGTCTGTGTTGACCCAACGTCTGTCCTTGTCCTCCCAGAGTCCAGTGTCCTCTCCAACATCTCCTTCCCTCACATCATCCCTGTTCTTTCCTTACTGGAGCGTGGTGTCGCTCTCAGCGAAGCACTGGAGCCGTGGGAAAGTGCGGAGGTGGGTGTAGACGTGGTCATGTACCACCTAGAGGCCGCGCGCACCATTGCACATCACGGAGGAATCTACCGGACCAATGCTGAGACCAAGCTACAGGGTAAAACTGAGTTTCTGTGTTTTTAAGACGTACTGTAGAGACTGTGAACATGTCTGGATGTCTGTACACAAAGTCAGGTTTTCTACAGTCGCTATCAGGCTAACAAATGTACTCGTCTACGTCCAAGTCCTTATTTGTCACTCTGTCAAAACACTAAAGTTAATATATCTATCTGGCCTACTTCTTATCCTTCTAACTTGATAAAGTTAGATCAGTTTTTAATCAGTCATTTTGCTTGCAGTTTACCATTTTTTTAGCATTAGCAGAAAAGTTTTTTCTTACTTTACTTGTAACTCATTTTAGGCTTATTATCATTATAACATTGTTAGGCTAACTCTGAGATATAGTTGTCATATTTGGACTAACTAAAACTAAACTTTTTTCATTTTTAACTTATATACTTATTATAAATAATTTGCTATTATTAAGTGGGCTCAACTTGTTATGTGACTTTATGGTCTTTTTTAGTTGTGTGTTGCTAAATTATTGGTGATATCTTTGCGGCAGTCTTCATTTCATTTGAGCTATTTCCCTTCCTTGAGAACAATTAGTGGCAACCTCAAGCTATTTTGGGAGAAGTTTTAATTTTATAAGAAGACTCACCATCATGTAACTGCTTTCTGCCATTTAAAAAAAAATCTTTTGAATAATTTGAAACAGCTTATGGAATTCCTTTTTCAAAGGTTCTTGTCCAAAAGATTCCACCAACTCCTGGTCCTGGTTATCGTATCTGAAATGCTAATCATGCTTTCATACCACATTAGCGACGCCCAGACGTAGCTGATGTCACAGAACGACTGTGTGTGTGTGTGTGTGTTGAGTGTATTGATCTCTAAAACCTCTGTATCGGTTCTTGGTTTGAGGTTGTTACTGGTTTATTGATGGAACTTTCAGTTGCTATCAATTCACATCTTTGTTTTCACTGATACATGTGTGAATCGATCAGTCTGACCTCACTCTGCTTCTCTCATCACCTCGACACACACACACACACACACACACACACCCACACACACCCTTACATGATACAGTTTTGCTGGTGTTAATGTTTCACAGATGGTCCCTGTGTGTGAGTTCATGTCAGAGAGAGTTTTAGTTTCACTGAAGTCCACTGTTTGGTGATGAAGGGGAACAGTGACTCTATGACCTCATCGATAACAGTCTTTAAAAAGTAATGTGTCATTTTCTAAACTCCTCCTCTCTCCTTTCTTCTCTCTTTTGTTTTCCTTTTCTCCTCCCTGCCCTCTCCATCTCGTTCCCGTCTCCAGGATTCCAGGAGTGGTCAGAGATCCAGGAGATCTTCCAGACAGAGTTCCAGATGCGTCTGCTGTGGGGCAGCCGCGGCTCTGAGGGCAGTCAGCAGGAGCGATACGAGAAGTTCGACAAAGTTCTCACTGCCCTGTCACACAAGCTGGAGCCTCCGGTTCGACACAGTGAGCTATAGCACTAGCTGCAGTGAGCGCACATTTAATGTCATGAAAACAGGTGGAGGGAGGGTCAGTGATGAGGATGAGGATGAGGATGATGTGGAAGAGTATATGAACACTGGGGGGTGAGGATGTTCGACGTGGCAGCTAACAGAGAGAGTGCACTGAGGAGAGAACGTTTACTCACTGATCACATGTGTTGCACTGACCGTGGACTTTTTCACTTAACGGTGTTAAATATATTAAAAAATGCCGACAAAACGGACACAAGCAGAAGAGATGCATCTTACTGTAATATCTACGGTGGCCTGTAGGGGGCAGACTGAGCTGCAGGGTTCATCTCAGCTCTAGCAAACACAGACTCTCTCCATGGCTGTCACACACTGTAGCAGAAACCACAATAACTCATACATGGATTTGTTGACTGTGAGGATGAATGTGTGTGTGTGTGTGTGTGTTTACATTCCTGTTTTTTTTTTAATAATGTGACATTAACCTATTTTTTAAGTCTTATTTATTTGACATGAACAAAGGGCGTCAGGACATTAAGGACGATGTGGCTTCACCATCTGTCGGTTCTCATTCAGAGGGAACTGTGTTCGTGAGACCTTCATTAAATATGGATCAGATCGTCCCCATTGGATCCCATTAAAAATGTATCAAGCCACATAAAAAAATGACACGGTAATAAAACATTTGCAGAGGGGTGAGCAATTTCTCTATGATGTCATCTGAATGTGTTACAGACAGACAGCAGAGTATGCAGCAATTTTGGGTTCATGTTTGTTAACATACATTACCTGCAGGTCCCATTCTTAAACTGTTGGGGTGCTGTAAACACCACCCACTCTCAGAGCACTCCTATGTGTTGACTAATGTTAAATAAAAAAAAACACATTTTATGGTTTAAACATAGTTACAATTACGTTTTTTCATTTCAATAAATGTCTTGGTTTTTATTTACTCTAAATTCCAATTAAACACCAGGCATATTAATCTGCGTTAAATATCAAATGAAACATTTACTAATGGTATCATGTGTCGTTGACTTCAGTGTGCTGGTACGACAGTCTGACCTACTGTATGAGTCAGTCAGAGCTGGTTCAAACCAGGTCAAACTGCCCAGTGCTAAGGTCTGTAGTGCTGATCAGTGTGGCTGTGCACCTCCTGTTACAGAGCAGAAAACCATGTTCTCACTCTGTTATACTCAAATGCTGTATATGTTTTTTTTAATTACTACTGGTTAGCATTCTTCTGTCTTGCAATGTTTTATTTCTTCTACTCTGGGTTTTAACAGTGGCAGGGATCCCTTAAGGTTCAGCGTTGCCACCTGGTGGCTCTGGTTTGACATTCAAAAGTGTACCAATTTAATGCAAATTAACACAACGCCATTCACTTGTAGTTGCTCGGGTTTTCAACGCCATTCACTTGTAGTTGCTCGGGGGGGTTTTTTATTTGTTCCTGCATACTCTAAATTGGTGACAAAAAAAAAACAACTAAAATCAATCAATATAAAACAACCTGAACTTTGAATAGAAACAAGTGAACAGAAAGGAATTAAAAAACAACATTGAATTGAGCACCGACACAGTTACAGTTGCAGTTTAAGTCCATTTGCATTTCTTTTAAGAACACAAGTCAAACTTTCTTTAAATAAAAAAAACAACTTTTTTGTTTACAGGATCTGTAAACAATTGGGTGACGATAATATTTTTGGTCAGTGGAAATGTTGAAAAGATTGTCAAGCTAAAACAAACACACTTCAACCACAGCCTGAAGAGGAAGTGGACGTAGCTTCTTCACACACTGTGGTTAGAAAGTACAGGAAGTTGACCAGAAACTCAGTTTCCTGTTGGTTAGTCTTTTAATCTTTGAATAATACATAGTTTCCTGAAGAACAAAAAAGAAACCAACATGTATTTGGAGTTACTTCAGACCAGTTTCCATGGCCTTCAGTCTGTAGCTGAACAACAACAGCGTCCATTTCTAGCATGTGATCTATGACTTTTTCAATCATATTTTTCATTTAATCGTATCAAACGAGCTTTAAAGATGATGATGTTTTTCTTTCTTTGAAGATAACCATTCACTGCCAACTGTTTTGTGTTGAATCATGACTGTACTGACAGTATGTGGCCCTGAGGTGAACCAGAGCCAGAATCTCAGGCCTATGCAATCGTTTCAACCAAGGGCTGAAACCGATGAAGAGTCCACGCTGGTTGGAGAAAAAAACAAAACAAATGTTTCCTACGTCTGAAGTGACTGTCATATCCAAACTGGTTATCTATACATGAAAATAGAGATGTATATCCATGAATCTTATCTCAAATATCAGTCTTACAACAACTATAGCTGCGTATCTCAGATGTTTGACACTTCTGGACTGAAACAAATGAAGACGAGCGGCAAACTCATGTTGTAGTAACATCCAGCAGGTGGAGACATTTAGTCAAAAACGATACAATGTCAATAATTGCAATAACGGGGACTTTTATTCTGTGTTTTGGGCAAAGAGGATATCTGCTGCGGTAAGAGGAATGATGATGATGATGATGATGATGTTTTTAATGTGTCCTCTGTTGAACGCTGTACAGGAATGAATGCAGGCTTCTCTGTTATGTCTATGAGACAAACTTGATGAAAAGCAAAAGAAAAAAAAAGAGGAAGAAGATTTAGGAGCGAATTTGTGTTTTTTTACTTACTGTACAAAGCCACTCACCTTTTTTCAAATAAAATGGTTGCTTGCCTCATTGAGTCCCATGTCTCAACCCTACACACATACTACAACACAATTGAAATGTTTTTGTTTTTTTCATCTTTTGCTAATTTTTTTTTTTTGGGGGGGGGGGGGGGGGGTGGCTAGCCTGAAGTTATTTAGCGTTTTTTTCTTTACTATTTTGTAGCGCTTCTTTTTTTGTATAATTTTAGTTGAATTCACTATAGTATGGCATAATCTTTGCCACATTTTCCACGTAATCTAGTAATAGTGTAATACATTAATGCTGTGTTTACACTGTTCATTTTTCTGTGGCTACTATTAGCTAATCTTGTGATGCTAAATGCTAAGTTTTTTGCTAATATCACTCTAATATTGGCTAATCTATATTAATTTTGTAACAGCTATTTTACGATGCCTTTCTGATGACATTTTAAAAAACTGTATTATTTACAATAATATAATCAATCTATACCACAGTGTAAGTTGTACAGTAATTAGCAGTTCTCATGTAATACACATTTAAAGACAGAAGAGGGAGACATTTAACGTCCAAAAAAGATCGAAACAGTATTAAGCAAACGGGTTTGATGCCTGCTGCAGTTAGAATGAGCATTTCGGTTTATTACAGGCAGCGGCTTCTTAGTCTTTCTTCTTCTTTGTATTCTAATTGACTAAATTATTACCAACACCGTGCGACTCTGCATTTCTTTGATCTTTGATCTTTGATTATCAATGCAGTGACTTGGCTTGTGTTTCGATGAATGTTGCAGCATCGTCATACATAAAATCTGCTCTTGTGCATGTTCTGTCTTACATGAAAATGTACAATAAGAGGTGCATTAATTTTTTTTCCTAACAGAACACTGTGAAATATCACAGAAATGAGTAAGAATAGGACTGTAACAGTGCAGGCTCCTCTCTACGAGACCACAATAGAAACTCATCATCGGCTCTGCTCTTTGTCTCCCTTCTCCATACAGTTCCATAGGCGTATCATGTTATGGATGTAATCTCTAAGAGGATTCTCTCTGCTTGGTATCATGGTACATGTTAATTTCAGCTCTTTATGTTCCTTATTGAAACAGAGCCAGGGTCTCCCAGGCCTGCCTGCCTGTCTGTCCGTCTGTCTGTCTGCCAGCCAACCCTCATCAATTCACCCCTAATCTCTACCCCCCAGCCCTTTTATAGCTAATCCATTGTGTTGGTCATTGTCATCTGATGGTGTGTGACCCAGGCTTCTCTCAGAGCTGGTGCCTGGCAGTGCAGCCAGAACTTCTGACACCCTTCTACAGCCAGTAATGAAACACTGTGGCTCATGGTATGGATGTTGCTTCAGTGGTTTTTTTTCTTTTGTTTCAATTTGGTCATAATGTGAAATTTTGGGTAAAAGTAAGAAGCTTGTTTTATTTTTTGTTTTGTTTTTTTCTCAAATGTAGCTTCAATTGTATCATCTCTCTTAGTTTTTTGTTATATCTGTGGCTAAACTCTTTTTTGGTTAATGATTTCTAGCTTAAGTTTATATATTTTAGGTGTCATTTTGGAATGATTTATTGTCTTTGGGTTAGCTTTTTCCTATGTTTTGGCTAACTTTAATATATTTTAGTACATACATTAGCCTTTAATATATAAAACATTACATAACATTACAGCCTAACATTTAATTATCTTCTAGCCAACCTTTAAACATTTAACTTCATATGTTATAGATTTTTCTGGACTAACATCTGTTATATATATATATACATACACACACACACTTTTTTTCAAACAGTTACTTTCTATGTTGCTCATTTTCATTTTTGGCTACTGGAGCCTAGCTGGCCAAGTGCTTGCACCACTTAACAGTCTGTATTTCTGGGGTGGGAGGGCAGCACAAAAAGACTAATAAAGATGAAATGGCCTTGAATGAAATGTTCGAGGCCACGTTAAATGTTTGAGGGCATTTCTACCACAGTTGTTGAATCACGAGCATCAGCTCCTTAAGGAATTCATTCGTTCTCTGCATTAAGTGTGCAGAGTGGACCGTAGCTCTTTATAGCCACCTCTGAACAGCAGCTGTGAACTGATCGTGTTAACTATAGTGAATACCACGGACGTCTGTTGTACCGACGCTGCATGAATCTAAAGACGCCTTAACAAATAAGACATGACACCCAGTCATGGTGTGATCACTCCTCAGGAACTTGCTTCATAACCACTAAACATTTAAACTCCCACCTACAGCAGACCCTCACCCCCGCCTCCCCTGCAGTTCCCTCTGTCAACTCTTCTACAGTGGAGACACTTCAGCTCATCCTCGCTGGGATGAAAGACAACAACCGACATCAACCGTACTCATCATGTCTCCATTATCTTTCAGAACTTCCTTTTGGCCCGCTCCTCCATCACTCTGCTTTTCCCGCCCGCTTCCTCACCCCCGCCACGCAGGCCCCTGGTCGATCCGTCTATCTGCCCCTGCACTGACTCCTCATTAACACATGAATGAAGACAGGGAAGGCCCTGTAAGGCTTGGACGCCAACAGAAGGCGACAGATTTGCAATTCAAACCTCTGACTGACCTCCGCCCACCTCCTCCTCCTCCTCCTCCTCCTCCTCCCATCCCTGTATATGCCAGAACTGGAATTGTCAGCCAGTATGATTGAGGACGTATGTGAGGAGGGAGTGAGAGGGACGGCGGTGGTGGGGGGTGAGACAGATGTGCATTCACACACTCACGTCTCATGCCTCTGCACACTTTCATATTGGCAGACCATGCAAATGCATGCAGATGCACATTTATGGGAGTGTGTGTGTGTGTGTCAGTGGAAAGGTTCTGATGAGTCTCCAATATAATGATTTTACCAGAGGAAGTCAAGTTCAAGGGGATTGTCAGCTGGTCATCAATGAAACGGTCCCACAAATGTATGAAACC